TCCTTTTACTCCCTATATATCTAAAAAACAATTTTTTGTTATCCTTAACTTGGGATGCCATCCTCAGCTCCATGGTAGCTTTGGCCTGTCTAACTGCCTCCCTACAAGCGTGAGCAGAGGAGGTATACTTCTCTTTAGTAATCTCTCCCCGTTTCCACTTTTTATATGCCCCCCTTTTAGCCCGTAGACTGCTCTGGATTTCTCTGGTCAGCCAAGGAAGCCTCTTGGCCCCTCTCCCCCTTTTTCCCTGCATTGGGATCGTCTCCCTCTGTACCTGAAGGATCATTTCCTTAAGGCACAGCCACCCTTCCTAGGCTCCCAACTCTTTAAAACTCCTACTCTGCAGTGCGTCCTTGACTAAACGCCTGAGTTCATTGAAATCAGCTTTCCTAAAGTCTAGCACTTTCACCCTACTAGTTACCTTACCCTGATGATGTGCAGTTCAGTATGAATAAGGGCAGAGTGCTTCACCTGGGGAGAAGTAACCTTCAACATGAATATACGTTATTTCCTTAGCTTGAGAGGAGATGTCCTGACCAGCACGATGACTGAAAGAGACCTTGGGGTTATGGTTGATCACAGGATGAATATAAGCCGCCAATGCAACACTGTAGTTGACAGAGCTAATGGCATACTGGGATGCATTAGCCAATACATCATAAGCAGGGCTAAGGAAGTGATCATTCCTCTCTACTCGGCATTGATGAGGCCCCAACTAGAGTACTGTGTCCAGTTCTGGGCACCACACTACAAAAAAAAACATGAAGACTTTGAGAATGATTAAGGGCCTGGATAATGATTAAGGGCCTGGAGGACAAACCTTATAGGAAAGACTAAGGGATCTCAAACTGTTCAGCCTGGGGAAGAGAAGACTGAGGGGGGACTTGGTGGCCATCTGTAAGTATGTAAGGGGTGAATATCAGGAGCTGGGAGAAAAGCTGTTCACTAGGGTGCCCCAGGGGAAGACAAGGAGCAATGGCCATAAACTGTTAGAGGATGGTTTCAGATTGGGTTAAGGAACAAGTTCTTTACAGTAAGGATGACCAGAATCTGCAATAGACTTCCCAAGAAGGTGGTACAGTTCCCAATCTTGGAAGCCTTCAAGAGGAGACTGGACAGACACCTTGCTGGGATCATTTGATCTCAGCAGTATTCCTACCCAGAGCAGGGGGGTTGCACTCAATGATCTTTTGAGGTTCCTTCCTGCCCTGCCCTTCATTTCTATGATAATAGAATTTATAGAAATTAATACATTTTTATGCTCAGCTCTTTTCATCCCATGATGTAGGTGCCCACAATGATAGATGTGAATGGAAAGAGGAACACAAGCAGTGTTAAACTCCCCATGGAGATTTTTCAGTCTTTTAACAAGACAGATCAGGTCACAGTGGCAGTGACCATGATTAACAGTGGGGAATCGGGACTCTTTAAGGTAAGAGCTGCTATATTAGCCATAGCAAAGGTCCATCCAGTCCCTTCTCCACCCTGCTTCTATCACTTAACATTGTGTGACGCCTTCAAGGAAGGCAAGTGCCCTTTTATATTTTTTTTAGCAACCATTGATTCTCCTGGATCATGGTATATGTATGAGAGCCACCCAGACCTTCAATGCATATGCCCAGGCAGGAATGTTTGGAGGAGTGGAGGCTGCCCAGACTTTCCACCCTGCTCCCTTTAGGGCACTGAGGCAGAATTCAAAGACTAGACTGTGTCCAGATGTTTGGTGCCTCCATGGCTGTGGTTGTATAGGCATCTGAGAATTAAACCCAGGTCTCCTGTGTGTTAGACAAGGATTCTACCACTGAACCATACAGGACTCCCCTCTTCTATATTCCATTAGTTGCATCATGTTGAACAGGCAGGAAACAATCCCTTCCTGACCATGACAGTGATCCCCAGATGCCCTGCAGCATGAAATACACATTTCCTCATTGAGGTGAAATTGACCATGGAGAGCAACCAATTCATTTCCTAGGCCAGTGGTTCCCAAACTCTGATAGATTGCACACCACCAATTTAAAATGATACATCCTTAAGTACCACCAGCAAATTTTTCATACACATGGGTAACAGACTGTGTATTAAAACAGAGGCAGGGGCAGGGGCGGGGGTAGGGGCAGGGCCAAGGACTGGGGTGAATGGGGCCCTGGAGCAGATTGTGGGATGATCAGAGCCCTGGGCAGCTTGTCCAGGGGCGCGGAAGGGGGTCTCCTGTAGCTGCGTGCACTCCAGGAGAGGAGGGGGGCACATGCGCCCCAGATTTATGTGCAGGGCAGAGGCGGGTTGCCGCTGCACACTGGGCTCTGCAGCCTGCTGCTGTTGCCTTGGGAGTCATGCGCAACACTGTGTACCTCCCACATGCTGGCTACACTGCTTCCCCTGCCCACCTGGCGGCAGGAGGCACATGGTGCTGTGTGTGGCTCCCCAAGCAATGGAAGCAAGGTGCAGAACCCAGCACACAGCAGGCAGCCTACCTCTGCCCCATGCACAAATCCAGGGAGCATGTGCCCACAATACTTCCCCCGGGGTGCACACAGTGGCGGG